TATTTACAAACAAAATGAGAAAGGCAACAGGCTATTTCAGCTTATTGAGACCCATTTTAGCCTTGAGTCGAAGTTGCTGCTTGATTCTGTAATGTATTTATGTCTAGAAAGTTCTTGAAAAATGAACAGCTATTACCTGACTTTCAATCTTTGACCCTCATAAGCAAAATGATATTTAAAACAACAATTTCTATTACATATACTGTATATACTTTTTCTTTCCAATATTTGACCATGATTATAATCTCTTTATGGAGTATCAGTTCCAATCCCCTAAAAAATAGGCATATCTGAAGTATTTAATAACTTTTTATGTATGTTTTTCCTTTGTATTTACTGTATCGGGCTCAATTCATTTAATAGGATATCTGATGCTGTTTTCTAGGGGACTGCGAAATGGCGATTTGTGGAGGTGTCAGCTGCATTATTGAGCCACGAGTCTTTGTCGTCCTCAGCAAAGCAAAAATGATTTCGCCTGAAGGCACCAGCAAGCCCTTCTCCAGCAAAGCAGATGGCTATGGAAGAGGGGAGGGCTGTGGGATTGTCTTACTGAAGCCCCTGCAAAAGGTGAGTTGGTCCCACACTCCCTGAATAAACCCACTGTGATTGAGCTGCTGATTAATTTCATGTGTTTTACTGACCTGTTTTACATTTGCTTTAAAGGTGAAGGGGTGCACAGTAGAATTTAACTGGATGTTATTCAGAATACTTTTTTAAAAAGGCTACAATTATAAGATAAAAAATTAAAAGCTAAAATTCTAGGTACTCTAATGACTCAACTAGAACATGTGCTAATCAAGTGTAGGTTGAGCTTTAAAATCCAGAAATTTGCTGATCAAAGATACAGTAGCTGATTAGTTTCCCATATACCACTGGGGTTTGTGTTCATAGGAATATTTCCCTTCACGTAACCCCTGGCTTCTGAATAATATTTCGAGTTTACTTGATTACAATTTGCATGATACCATCAGGCCCTGGGGGTTAGTACTGAAAATCTACAGTGTCTGAATTAATTGTCTCTTTTATACTAGCAGTCCTTAATATAGAACATTGTATTTCCACTGCCTGAGGCTCTTTACTGACTTTGCAATTAGTGAACAAGGCAAAGGAACAAGTAAATATTTATTCCGTGCTGAAAAGAGAAGAAATCTTTCTGATGCGGAGCCTTCTTCTTCCTTCCATTTTACTTAATAGTTAATGCTTCTTTCACTGTTGTTATAATGATAGAACCTTTAATTTTTATTTACAATTCCTACTACATTATTTCTTTCCATCTCTATCAGCCTAATTTCCCTGGAAATGTTTACAATGGAGGTGTATTACAATGTTTATAATAAAGGTGTAACAATATAATGTTTTAGAAACGGTGATATAATCATATATATGATTATATATACTTGTAGCAATTATAAGAACACAGAAAGTTAAATAATGAATACAAATTGTGCTGTTTTCTATTAACAGGCTAAGAGGGATTTTGACCACGTGTGGGGCATCGTAAGCAGCACTGCTGTAAATCAAGATTGCCGCTCTGTCACCCCAATCACCAAGCCATCCATGGCCCAACAGCAGGAGCTCCTTCGCACAATTTACCCTGCACAGATTGATCCATCACATGTCCAGTACGTGGAGGCTCATGGGACTGGAACCCCGGCAGGAGATCCCACAGAAGCTGGCAGCATCTCCAACGTCATAGCCAAAGCCCGCCCCCCAGGATCCCCGGCGCTTTGTGTCGGCTCTGTGAAAGGTAACATTGGGCACACCGAGTCTGCAGCGGGGGTGGCAGGGCTCGTCAAGGTCCTGCTAATGATGCGCCATGAAACCATTGTCCCCTCCCTCTTCTATTCTGAGGACAACGCAAGCATCGATGCCAAAGCCCTGAATCTCAAAGTCCCCACCGCAGCAGAGACGTGGGTAGGGACTTGTCCGCTGGGAAGGGCTGCAGCCATCAACAACTTTGGCTTTGGAGGCACCAACGCTCATGTTGTCGTGAAGCAGTACAGACAATAGCAAGATGCTAGGTCAAGAATTCACACTACGCCCAAACTGTTTGTTCTGTCTGCAACCACAGAAAAATCTCTTAAGACGATGATGGAAGACACAGTCCAAAAGATCAGCAATGACAACACACTCGATCTACAAGCTCTAGCTTATACATCTGCATGTACTGTAGAAGGACTCACTTGAGGCACAGATACAGAAGAGCCTTTGTTGCATCTTCTATCAGTAATTTAGTAGAGCAACTTAAATCTGCAACAACCAAGAGCATTACTCAGTCAAAGTCCAACCCCCGGTTGGTTTTTGTGTTTTGTGGCAATGGAGTTACCTACCGAGGCATGTGCAAGCAACTGTTACAAGAGGAGTGCATTTTCAGGGAGGTGAAAGAGATAGATGAGATTTTCCACAACTACAAGATCTTGAATCTCCTGGAGAAACTGGACAGTGATTATGACAACGATGATTACTCCAAACCAGATGTTGTCCAGCCACTTCTCTTTGCTGTTCAGGTTGCTATTGCCAGCCTTTTCAAGCACTGGGGTGTCAAAGCAGATGCCATGGTTGGGCACTCTGTGGGAGAGGTGGCTGCTGCACATTGTTCTGGACTGCTGTCCCTGGAGGATGCAGTTAAGGTCATTTACTTCCGCAGTGCTCTTCAGGCCACAGCGACTGGTGGGAAAATGCTTGTGGTCATTAACATAGGTGTGACAGCCACGTGATGGATCCAATTTTAAGGCCAGTTGAAGAGAACATTGGCATGTTGACACAACAACCAATGGAGGTAGAGCTGTTCTCAACTGTGACAGGAAACGTTTGTTTTCCAGGTGATTTTATCACAGGCGAATACTGGGCGTGAAACATTCGAGGGCCAGTAGCTTTTGAGCAGGCAGTGAAATCTGCTGCGAAAGACAAGAGGAATGTAGTTTTTGTAGAAATTCCTGGAGACACTAGGGAATGAGCCCAGGTGTTCTCATCCGTGCAGCCAGACAAAGACCATGAGGCATTGCTTACTGTCACGTCAAAGCTTTTTGAGCTGGGCCTGCAAGTCAACTGGGAACAACTTTTTGAAGGATGTGAGACAATACCAACACCATTTCCAAGATATCAGTTTGACAGTCTAAAGAAAGAGGTGTACTTTGAGTTGGTAAGGAAGGGCAATGAAACTGTGTCAGCTTCCAATCACCCTGTGCTGATGCAGACCGGCAACGATGACAAAGAATTCAGTTGCAACATTTCAGGAGACTCTGTGTCTTACATATCTGAACACAAAAACAATGGTGCTATTATAGTTCCAGGTGCCTTCTATGTTGAAATGGGATTGGCATTGTTCACGGCCAGTGTGAGACCAAAAGTACCACTCGGGTCACTGCAGCTCACCATTCATTTCCAGAGTCCTTTCATTTTGAGCAAAAACTCACCTGAGATGAAAGTACAGCTCGAACCAACAGGCAATGCAATGATGTTTAAAGTAAAGTCTGCAGTAGCCACTTATGCATCTGGAAGAATTGAGCATAACACAGAACAAGCTATTAAAGAAAAGAAAATCTTACTGGACTTTATCTTCAAAAGATGTCCCTTTGTAGTAAAGTCAGGGGATGTCTACAAAAAACTTTCTCAGGTAGGATTCCAGTATGGGTCGGTTTTCAGAAACCTTGGAGATGTGCATTATGGGGAAGAGTTCGGGGAAGCTCTCACGAGCGTGAAGGTCCCAGATGAAACTGTAAACCAGCTGCATGACTACTGCATACACCCTGTAGTGTTAGACTACTTCTTACAGATGACCGCTGTTGTAGCAGCGAATGGATTTAAGGCAAGACCTGGGTTTCCTTCAGCCATAGGCAGCCTGACAGTTGTAAAGCCATTGGGGGAGGAAATGATGATATATTTAAGACAACCAATGCAAACTCTGACTATCTTGAGGTGTGTGGTTGCTTCACAAACAAAGAAGGCTGTGTTTTAGTTGAACTTAAACATGTGAGGATTACATTTAAAAAAAATACATTTTCAGTTTCTGAAGAATACTTCTTTCACAACGAGCTGATGACAGTCCCAGAAGATTTCATCTCTAGCCACAAGTCAGTGGCCCTGGTCTTTGCAGACCAGTTAGGAGTGGCCCAGAGAAGTGTAAAGCGACACCTTCCGTCAAACGTTTGAAAGGTGCCACGCCCCCCCTTTCAGCCAATGGGAGTCAGCTGTGGATGTCCCGCCCCCTCTTCATCCAATGGTGTGTTGTTATGGGTGCATGACCCATCCCCTGAGGAGCCAATGGTGTGTCTTAAAGGGGCGGATGTCCCGTATGAAAGCGTGTGTTGGTTTGGAAGGTGACCATGTCTGCAGCGGGGGTTGAGTGCGCTCTATTATAAACCTAGGGAATCGGGGAGTTACGGCGGCGTGGGGAGTCTGGTGAGGGCCGCGAGATCCCGGGGTGTGAGCGGCACCAGCCGCGGCCAGGTGGTTTATACGCTGCACAAGCCGTGTCTCAAAAAAACATCAAGGGTTGTAAGCACACACACACACTGACTGCGTAAAGTCTCACGGAAAGAACTCGTAGGACAAATAGCATGTGAAATGTGAACCACTTTATTTCAACAGTAGGTTTTCAAACACAGAAACATTGCAGTACACACACGTTACCGGCTCCTGTTTGCAATCAACAATTAAATGTTGGTGCGGAAAATTAGTTTGGTACATGTAACCACCACCCCAACATTGCTGAGAAACTTCGAGGCATCTGAAAAAGCATTCATAATCCGCTTCCGCTCCCCATGTCTAAAACCATGCGAGCCGCACTGGGCGATCCGATCTAGCGGAGCAAAAAAATTTGCCTGAGTTATCAGGGGGATGGTGTTACCACAGGTTCTGTGCAAAACACGTTGTATTTTGGAATACACACTGCAGAATCCCCCAGGCTTCCGTTTCTGATCTGAAAACATCAGATCCGCAATAATTTCACTCATGTTCTTGACGTACACATCTATCTCTTAAACAAATTTAAGGACATTAGTATTCGACTCTTTGTTTTTCATATCAAGCTTTGTAGAGAGAAGTGTGTAAAGCACTCTTTGTAAGAATTCAGACGTATACATTTAAAATTCTTCATTCTTCGGACGATGGCACATTTTATGTAGTTCTTTTTTGGCATCTGCAAAAATTAGAATAATGTTTCTTTTGCAATGCATCAAAAGTCACGTCTACTAATTTTTCATCTAGGTGGTCAAGTATGGAGCGTACATGCTCGTATGGCGAGCAGTCGTCAATTATGTTTTTCAGCAAGTGTTTTATGCCCCGCTCAGTGTTATTTGTAATGGTGTATGAACCCAGGCACCTGGCGATGTACAGAACAGCCGATAAAATTCGGGCTAAACTGAGAGACTTATAATTTCTAACGCAGCAAACATCACATCTGGGGTGGCCAATCAAACAGGCTGGGCATTCATCAATCAGAACCCCCTTTAAACAGTTTGAAGATGCAATAAACTACTGCTTTCACAATCTGGGCCATAACATCGGGCTCATTAGGGACATCGTTAGCTAAACCTGGTTGGTCATTATCATTAACATTTTGACAAACACACAAGCATAGACACGAACCATTCAGGCGCGATGGTAGTTTGAAGAGGGATGCGTCGACCTCTTCGTTATTCTATTCAAGGAAAAAGAAAAGGAAGGCTTAACAAAATAAATAGACATGCTTTGTACCTAAAATATCTATCATTTAACGCCTCTTTTGTGCTAGGGTTTTTCGCTAATATTTATCTCTTGTAGCGGTTCTTCAACACCAGGCTCCCCATCCGAACTCACACGACAGCCGCGGTCACACGTCGCAGAGGGCGGGGTCGGGTTTTGCTAAAAAGAAGACCAAGTATTAAAATGACACACGCTATGCGCCAATCGAAACAACAATTCCACGATCAGAAAAATATAATCACTTATGTATTATTCAGCTTATAAGTTAAAGTCTATAAACTTTAAAAGTGTTAACACACAACACAAACCACAAATGATGTGTTTTTCGCAGAAAATATTTTTTTTTTCATAGAAACGTTTTAACACGGGTGGATTGGTCTTTAAAGTTTTAAAAGTACTGTAATAAGACACGTTTAGCAAAATTGTATCGAGAGCGAAAAGTAAGCTTATCAGCTTACTATGAATAACACATTTGCGACAGCTTTTCAAAAGTTTGAAATGAATTTTCCACGTACAGTGAGCGTAAAAGTCTTCAAACTTTAAAAGTATTGTAACGCCCTCGCCTGGTGGTGAGGAGTAAGCGCCCCTAGGCGCTCGTAGTACCGCTGGGCATGCTGGGAGTGGTAGCCGGGGAGTCTGAGGGTCAGCACGATGACCAGCGGCTGACCCTACCTGTGTAAATAATGTCCTAGTAGTTCTAGTGCCCTGTGTAGTCTTATAAGAGTATAGCGTGTTGTTAAGTAATTACCACCCTAAAGATTTGTACGTGTTCCGTCAGTCTCCTCATGTGCGTGTGTATCTTGTGTTTGGTTTTGTGTGGTTGTTAGGGAATAAAGCAAGTACTTGGTTTGTTAATCGCGTCTCCGCTGGTCCTTTGTTTTGAAAAGGGTTTGTAGACGCTACAGTATTAACATGCATCAAATGATGTGTTTGCGCAGAAAATATGTTTTTAACACGCACGGCTTGGCCTTGTTTTAAAATTATTTAATAGAGATCTTTGGGAGTCGTGAGGTGGGTCGGTGTCACGACCGATACAGGCTCTGGGATCTAGAGACTATGCATTTATCTGTTAAAAACAGCCGGTCAATTTGACATCCGGATTCCGGAGGAGGGATGTTGTCAGTCAGCGGGGGAGCTAAAATTTATCTCATGGCGAAAGTTAATAAAAGTTTTAAATTTTAAGAGGGCACAATTAACAGTAACAATAAACGGTCGGATATAGGTGTTATAGTTTTTCTTTTGTTTCAACAAACAAAGGTTAATATAATTTAAGCGTGGTCAAGATGTGGTATGAACCACTTACTGCAACAGTTACTTCTTTTGTT